GGGTGACCACCGTGTAGGGTGACCACCGTGTAGGGTGACCATCATGTAGGGTGACCACCGTGTAGGGTGACCACCGTGTAGGGTGACCACCGTGTAGGGTGACCATCATGTAGGGTGACCACCGTGTAGGGTGACCACCATGTAGGGTGACCACCGTGTAGGGTGACCACCATGTAGGGTGACCACCGTGTAGGGTGACCACCGTGTAGGGTGACCACCATGTAGGGTGACCACCGTGTAGGGTGACCACCGTGTAGGGTGACCACCATGTAGGGTGACCACCATGTAGGGTGACCACCGTGTAGGGTGACCACCATGGTGGGTGACCACCGTGTAGGGTGACCACCATGGTGGGTGACCACCATGTAGGGTGACCAACATGTAGGGTGACCACCATGTAGGGTGAGGTGTTCTCTCCAACTCCGGGGAAGGCGGAAGTAACATACGACATTCTTAATTATTTATCAAGCATGAAGCAAGCACTGCCCCCCCCCCTCCCTCTCTCTCTCTCTCTCTCTCCCTCCCTCTCTCTTACTCTCATTCTCCCTCCCTCCCTCTCTCACTCTCCCTCCCTCCCCCCCTCTCTCTCTCTCTCAATCTCTCTTTTTCAGAGAGAGAGAGAGAGAGAGAGAGAGAGAGAGAGAGATGAGAGAGAGAGAGAGAGAGAGAGAGAGAGAGAGAGAGAGAGAGAGAGAGAGAGAGAGAGAGAGAGAAAAGAGAGTATTACACATGGGATAAAAACACTATATACATATAACCACAATATATATAACCTTCCCCACAATGCTGCAGAGTGCCGCAAGAGACGAGTGTTCGAGTCCACAGTAGTGACCACATGCGTAAGTGACACACACACACACGAGACAATACCAACCAAATGTAGCGAGTTATGCAGTGAAACAAAGATGTCGAAACGTGACAGGCCATTCACAACATCATTCGAAAGAGAGTGAAGATTTAAACATGTAGTTTAATGTAGGATTTTGAGCTAGGGATGAAACATGTAGGATTGTGAGCTAGGGATGAAACATGAAGGATACTGAGCGAAACATGTAGGATTTTGAGCTAGGGATGAAAACATGAAGATTGAGCTAGGGATAAACATGTAGGATATTGAGCTAGGGATGAAACATGTAGGATTTTGAGCTAGGGATGAAACATGAAGGATATTGAGCTAGGGATGAAACATGTAGGATATTGAGCTAGGGATGAAACATGTAGGATTTTGAGCTAGGGATGAAACATGTAGGATATTGAGCTAGGGCTGAAACATGTGTAACGGGGGGTGGGGGAAATAGCTCTATCTTGTCCATTATTCCACCCCCCAGTTAACTAACGAGGCCGGGGGAAACAGCTCTCTCTAGTCCGTTATCCCGTCCCCAGTTAGCTAACTATTCTAGAGCACCTCCAGAGTTCCTAAGGCAACCTCTCTGGTTCAACACCTTGTAACCTAGGTATTTGACTACCTAGGTGCTAAGACTACAAGGCGCCGTCACTTGATCAGTTACCCGAAACTCTAGAGAGAACTCTAGAATACAGAATCATTGCCACAAACGTATAAGAGAAAACGAAAGGAAAGAAATGAATAGTGAAGTAATTAGTGAGGGTTTGGGGTGAGAGGTGGGAGGAGCGAGGAGGGTCATTAGTTGAAAGTGAGAGTTCAGAGAGGGGTGGAGGGAGAGGTGTAGATAGGTAGAAGTAGAAGAGTAGATAGTAGAAGTAGATAGTAGAAGACGAAATGCTGCCACCATCCTTTCATGATCATTACATACAAGACAAGGAATGGAACTTGTCTGTATCACAATATTCACCAAAGATGTTATCAAGAGATCATTATTAGTATGGTCCCATCTTTATCATGTACTCATTCTAAACATGAAACCAGTAACCACAGAGGCTTCTCACCTCAACTCAAAATCTCTAGGGAACAAAATAAAGTCCATTTAAATAATAAATTCAACAATTATATTTTTCATAAGTATCCTAACTTAAGCAATCCAATTAAAATGTTAAAGATTAATATTCAAAGTGAGTCATCCTCCAAGAATCTGAGAACACTACAACTGACTGCCCCTGATCCTCACACAACACTTGTAAAACACGACAAGTCACCTTACTGCTCAACTCACCAAGTGTGTGCCTATAGCTGGATAGAGAGGGGGGGGGGGGGGAGTCTGCAGCTGTCAGGCAGCTTCACCCCCGTCCGACCGACAGCCTGTCTCGGCTGCTCTGCTGCCTGGTCTTCTGTCTTGTTAATGCTTAATGCTCTCGAATCGATAGTTCTCCGAGTATATATTGGGGAGCCTAGTAACTAACTCCGCCCACAAGTAGATAGCCTGAGGCACTCTACCAAGCCACTCCTTAAACGTCGGCATGTTTGAAGGCTACCAGGCTCCAATTAAGAGATTAGTAGAAGCAAGGTGAAATTCGCATGATCTGACCTCAGGTCACTTGGGGTCATTAACGGTTTGAGGTGTGAGATCTCAGGCCGACAACCTGGCGCCTTTCTCAAATCCCTGTCTGTGACTCATGTACTATATATATGTATTAAACTAAACCAAACACTTTTACAGTGTTACACATGTAGGATTTTGAGCTACGGCTGAGAAATATAGGATATTGAGCTAAGCCTCTTAAAAATAAAGAGCTGATAAATAAATAATAAAATAAATAAATAAATAAATAAATACTAAAATAAATAAATAAAGAGTGCAACTAATACAAGTTGCACTCTTGTCCTGCAACATTATCGTATCCTTGACAAGCTTTTCAACTAGGCTTTTCAACCGGGCTGTTTGCTAGTCCGAGTCCAGCTGGGAGTAGTAAACAGCCCAGTTTGGGGGCACCGTAGTATGGTATAGCTGTGAAGGTTTCTTGAGGGCGTAAGTACATGGGTAACTGATATCCTTTCTGGCATTAGAAGTGGCACTAACGCAGGATTAATGGATATCTTACTCGTCAGGGGGCACTAACGTAGGATTAATGGATATCTTACTCGTCAGGGGGCACTAATGTAGGATTTATAGATATCTTACTCGCCAGGGGCACTAACGCAGGATTAATGGATATCTTACTCGTCAGGGGGCACTAATGTAGGATTAATGGATATCTTACTCGTCAGGGGGCACTAATGCAGGATTAATGGATATCTTACTCGTCAGGGGGCACTAATGTAGGATTTATGGATATCTTACTCGCCAGGGGGCACTAATGTAGGATTAATAGATATCTTACTCGCCAGGGGGCACTAACGCAGGATTAATGGATATGTTACTCGTCAGTGACAGTTACCCATGATCCAGGACGGAAGGGGGTGGATGAATTGGGTAACAGAGAGGGGGCGGGGGTGTTGGGGGGGGGGAGGGATGGGGGGGGGGACTGGGACAGTGGTGGTTGTGTGGGGACTTATCAAAGCGACTTCCGCTACTGCACCCCCCCCCCCCCCCCTCACGTGTACACAAGCTTACTCGCATACACTCAGTATACGTACACTGTAGACTTCTATACGTGCACACACACACACACACACACACACACACACACACACACATCTAGTCAAGTATAAGACTAAACTTGAAAAGTGTTTGAAAAGTGTCCCGCACGAGGCAGAAACAAATGGGCAAAGCTTCTTTCACCCTGAATGCCCCTGTTACCTAGCAGTAAATAGGTACCTGCGAGTTAGTCAGCTGTCACGAGCTGCTGCCTGGTGTGTGTGTGTGTGTGTGTGTGTGTGTGTGTGTGTGTGTGTGTGTGTGTGTGTGTGTGTGTGTGAATATATTTATTAAGCACGGATATACACGTGAGTATACTTCCTGCAGGCAGTCAGGAAGGCACGACTGCACGCACACGCACACAAATGGGGCCTGATAGCTGAATCGACAGCGCTCTGTGCTTGTAATCCTAGGGTCTGGGTTCGATTCCCCGGTGATGGCAGAAACAAAATTGGCAGAGTTTTCTTCACCCTGATGCTCCTGTTACCTTGCAGTAAATAAGTACCTGGGAGTTAGACAGCTATTACGGGCTGCTTCCTCTGTGTACTCACCTAGTTATGCTTGCGGGGGTTGAATTCTGGCTCTTTGGTCCCGCCTCTCAACCGCCAATCAATTGGTGTACAGGTTCCTGAGCCTATTGGGCTCTATCATATCTACACTTGAAACTGTGTATGGAGTCAGCCTCCACCACATTACTTCCTAATGCATTCCATTTGTCAACCACTCTGACACTAAAAAAGTTATTTCTAATATCTCTGTGGCTCATTTGGGCTCATTTGGGCACTCAATTTCCACCTGTGTTCCCTAGTGCGTGTTCCCCTTGTGTTACATAACCTGTCTTTATCTACCCTGTCGATTCCCTTGAGAATCTTGAATGTGGTGTCCCCCCTAACTCTTCTGTCTTCCAGCGAAGTGAGGTTTAATTCCCGTAGTCTCTCCTCGTAGCTCATACCTCTCAGCCCGGGTACTAGTCTGGTGGCAAACCTTTGAACCTTCTCCAGTTTAGTCTTATCCTTGACTAGATATGGACTCCATGCTGGAGTCTCTTCGCCATGGAGATGGCGAAGAGACATGGGACTGAACATCCCGAGTGAGGTGACCCAGACCAGAGGGAAGACCAGACCTCCACACACACTCTGGGACACTGGAGTACACTGAACATCAGTACCAATGGGCACCAATGAACATTGTGTATTAGTATCAGATGACATAGTTGTTATGAGAGGCAGAGGACGCCAGGGAGGAGAGTGAGACCATCGTACAACAACACCTGAACAACACAGGAAAGAGAACTCGGAGGAAACAACACAAGACATAATGGACAAAATAAGAAGCGAACTGAAAACAGCAGAACGAAAATTCACAAAATGAGTGAGGGTTAAAGGAGCTTAGAATAGCACTATCCCATGGTTTGATGAGCATTGGTGATGAGCCTTGGTGGTGAGCATTGGTGATGAGCATTGGTGATGAGCATTGGTGATGAGCCTTGGTGATGAGCCTTGGTGATGATCATTGGTGATGAGCCTTGGTGATGAGCCTTGGTGATGAGCATTGGTGATGAGCCTTGGTGATGAGCATTGGTGATGAGCCTTGGTGATGAGCATTGGTGATGAGCATTGGTGATGAGCCTTGGTGATGAGCCTTGGTGATGAGCATTGGTGATGAGCCTTGGTGATGAGCCTTGGTGATGAGCATTGGTGATGAGCCTTGGTGATGAGCATTGGTGATGAGCCTTGGTGATGAGCCTTGGTGATGAGCCTTGGTGATGAGCATTGGTGATGAGCCTTGGTGATGAGCATTGGTGATGAGCATTGGTGATGAGCCTTGGTGATGAGCCTTGGTGATGAGCATTGGTGATGAGCCTTGGTGATGAGCCTTGGTGATGAGCCTTGGTGATGAGCATTGGTGATGAGCATTGGTGATGAGCCTTGGTGATGAGCCTTGGTGATGAGCCTTGGTGATGAGCCTTGGTGATGAGCATTGGTGATGAGCCTTGGTGATGAGCATTGGTGATGAGCCTTGGTGATGAGCATTGGTGATGAGCCTTGGTGATGAGCCTTGGTGATGATCATTGGTGATGAGCATTGCTTGAAGGCAAAGAGGATAAAGAATAAGAGCATGGGAAAAAGCACAGAGTGAACCCTGATATAGAGCAGACAAAGAGAACACCTGTTAACTGGAGCCACACAGCTGTGGCTAGAGTGAACAGCTGTACAGCTGTTAACAACACACACCTTGCAATTAGAGCGCTGACACCATAATGACAGCCATATATCACAAATTTAGAAAAATGTGAATGCAATTCGATAACATCTAACCTAACCTAACCAACCCTACCTTGACCTGCACACACACACACACACACACACACACACACACACACACACACACACACACACACACACACACACACACACACACACACACACACACACACACCTCTGAACACACCGCTCATGTAACCTAGTTCTTATTTCATTAGGCTTTTAAATGCTTCTCAATAAGCCAAGGAGGGGGATTCGAACCCAAACACACACACATAGTACTCCCAGGTGAGCTTGGGAGTACCACGTGAAATCCCGTTAATGTGAGTTCATTACGCATTTGCAGACGTCACAAAAATGATGTCCTAAATTGGCCTAACCTAACCTAACCTACTCGAGGATCTACGAAGAGAAAACGAGACAGATCGTCAATTTTGTGAGCCTGTGTGATGTATAGTACATTATATTTTGGCCGGTGGGGCATTATACATCATAATGTTATGTATTATACAAGAGGACGGGCTGGTGTATGACCGTTGGCTTGTATGACTCCGTTGCTAAGAGATACAGAGAGAGAGAGAGAGAGAGAGAGAGAGAGAGAGAGAGAGAGAGAGAGAGAGAGAGAGAGAGAGAGAGAGAGAGAGAGAGAGAGAGAGAGAGAGAGAGAGAGAGAGAGAGAGAATTATCAAGGGAAAGCGCCAAGCCATTACGACTATATAGCACTTGGAAGGGGTCAGGACAAGGATTTGGGATGGAACGGAAGGAAGGAATGGTGCCCAACCACTTGGACGGTCGGGGGGATTGAACGCCGACCTGCATGAAGTGAGACCGTCGCTCTACCGTCCAGCCCAAGTGGTTGGACCCCACTGCGAAGAGAACTTGGGTGCAGACGATGAGTCACAATAACGAGGCTGATGACCGGAAGATGACCGGAAGATGCTGCTGCCGGAGGAGACCTCACACCGGAAGATGAAGAGAGATGTTGCCTTTTGTCGTTCATATAACACAACTTGATAACGGTCCTGGACGAGCCCAAACGTTCTCGGCTTTCCGTCTTGTGACGTGTGGTTGGGTCAGCACAGAGCTCTAGCGTAAGATGCACTGCTGACACAACCAAGCTCTCCGGGATGTCAGGATTGTTGAGCAGTTACACATCAATTCAGATTTCTATCAGTTACTTAAACTCAGGTTTGCATGTCTTGCGGTGAGATGGTGAGAAATTATTCTTATTATAAGTCCTGTATTAAGGGAAATGGTGATTGACAGTGTAATATTAAGGTAAATGGTGATTGAACAGTGTTATATTAAGGGAAATGGTGATTGAACAGTGTTATATTAAGGGAAATGGTGATTGAACAGTGTTATATTAAAGGGAAATGGTGATTGAACAGTGTTATATTAAAGGGAAATGGTGATTGAACAGAGATTGAATGAAATAATAAATACCAGATTGATCAAGTGAAACGCATATAATCAATTGACACGTGTTATATAACTTTGACCTTCACTGTAGAGGTAATTAGAGGTGTGTAGAGTGACCTGCCCTCACCAGGTGCTGGGGTAAAGGTTACGGGCGTGAGATAACACGATCACTGATAGCCGGTAGTTTATGATGTCAAATGGGCAGTAAGTCTCCCTTCCTGTGACCCACCCATCCCCCCCCTGTAACCACGTAACAAGCTCATGAACGTGACATATTCACGAACGTGACGTGACCAGTGTCACTGGGTAAATTTTAGTGATGGAGGGAGTAAGGAGGGAGAGAGGGAGAAAGGAGGGAGGGAGGGAGGGAAGGACGAAGGGAGGGAGGGAGGAGCCAGAATGAGTTTTTTTTATTATTATTATTTTCTACCACAGACGTGGCCACACATTTACAATGCTAACCAGCATATATACATTTTCTTCTGTCCTCCATGATGAGCATGAGGTGACAGGAGAGTAGTGCAGCTTCTGATGTTGTCCCTCACCGGAAGTTACCATGGTTACTCCCCCTCACCCCACACCCCACACCCCTCACCCCTCACCCCTCACCCCACACCCCTCACCCCCACCCCTCACCCCTCACCCCTCCCCCCTCACCCCCCCCCACACCCCACCCTCTCACCCCTCACCCCCACCCCACCCCTCACCCCTCACCCCCCTGGCACTGGTACACTCTGTGGGTTTTCGCGCTCTCCCTCGCAATCCTTACCCCCCCCCCACGTTCACCCCCCCTCACCCCACCCTCATAATACCCCAGTCCTAACTCCTCCCCCCCCCCCCCTGCAGCATCACCACCACCACACCTGCAGCATCACCACCTCCACACCTGCAGCATCACCACCTCCACACCTGCAGCATCACCACCACCACACCTGCAGCATCACCACCACCACACCTGCAGCATCACCACCACCACACCTGCAGCATCACCACCTCCACACCTGCAGCACCCACCAATCAGAGGCCACTCCTATCTCCATCCCCTCCACTTCCCTTCCTCCACCTCTCCTCCACGTCCATCCCCCTCCCTCCTACTCTGTCTTCCACACCCTATCAACACAGAACCACCCTTCCACCCCCTTCCTCTCCCTCCCCCCTCCCACCCCCCCTCCCACATTGCCCCCCCCTCATTATACAGTTGAAGGTGTCGCGCGCTCCTACACGCCAACCACTTTCTCTACAATGTGTATGTTCTTATATAACATGATATATCGGGATGCTCACAATGCCCTTGTTCTCCGCAGATGCTGGCGTTGTTTTAATGCACTTTATTAGCCTTTTAAACTCGTGTTCTCAGGGAAAGAAAGGCGTTAAAGCCAGATACACAGACTTGATTGTACCAAAATGAGCCAAACCTGACCTTGGGCACCACTACTGACCTGTCCATAACCTGACCCTAAAGCTGACCTAAAACATTCAAAACCAACTTGCCCTAAACGTCCCGGTGACTGGCCCCCATGACCAGACTGGCCACGGTCTGGGCCCCCATGACCAGACTGGCCATGACCTGGCCCCCATGACCAGACTGGCCATGGTCTGGGCCCCCATGACCAGACTGGCCATGGTCTGGGCCCCCATGACCAGACTGGCCATGACCTGGGCCCCCATGACCAGACTGGCCATGACCTGGCCCCCATGACCAGACTGGCCATGGTCTGGCCCCATGACCAGACTGGCCATGGTCTGGCCCCATGACCAGACTGGCCATGGCCTGGCCCCATGACCAGACTGGCCATGGCCTGGCCCCCATGACCAGACTGGCCATGGCCTGGCCCCCATGACCAGACTGGCCATGGCCTGGCCCCCATGACCAGACTGGCCATGGCCTGGCCCCCATGACCAGACTGGCCATGGCCTGGCCCCCATGACCAGACTGGCCATGGCCTGGCCCCCATGACCAGACTGGCCATGGCCTGGCCCCATGACCAGACTGGCCATGGTCTGGCCCCATGACCAGACTGGCCATGGTCTGGCCCCATGACCAGACTGGCCATGGTCTGGCCCCATGACCAGACTGGCCATGGTCTGGCCCCATGACCAGACTGGCCATGGTCTGGCCCCATGACCAGACTGGCCATGGTCTGGCCCCCATGACCAGACTGGCCATGGCCTGGCCCCATGACCAGACTGGCCATGGTCTGGCCCCATGACCAGACTGGCCATGGCCTGGCCCCATGACCAGACTGGCCATGGCCTGGCCCCATGACCAGACTGGCCATGGCCTGGCCCCCATGACCAGACTGGCCATGGACTGGCCCCATGACCAGACTGGCCATGGCCTGGCCCCATGACCAGACTGGCCATGGCCTGGCCCCCATGACCAGACTGGCCATGGCCTGGCCCCATGACCAGACTGGCCATGGCCTGGCCCCATGGCCTGGCCCCATGACCAGACCGGCCATGGCCTGGCCCCCATGACCAGACTGGCCATGGCCTGGCCCCATGACCAGACCGGCCATGGCCTGGCCCCATGGCCTGGCCCCATGACCAGACCGGCCATGGCCTGGCCCCCATGACCAGACCGGCCATGGCCTGGCCCCATGACCAGACTGGCCATGGCCTGGCCCCATGACCAGACCGGCCATGGCCTGGCCCCATGACCAGACCGGCCATGGCCTGGCCCATGACCAGACCGGCCATGGCCTGCCCCATGACCAGACCGGCCATGGCCTGGCCCCATGGCCTGGCCCCATGACCAGACCAGCCATGGCCTGGCCCCCATGACCAGACTGGCCATGGCCTGGCCCCATGACCAGACTGGCCATGGCCTGGCCCCCATGACCAGACCGGCCATGGCCTGCCCCCATGACCAGACCGGCCATGGCCTGGCCCATGACCAGACCGGCCATGGCCTGCCCCCATGACCAGACCGGCCATGGCCTGGCCCCCATGACCAGACCGGCCATGGCCTGGCCCCATGACCAGACCGGCCATGGCCTGGCCCATGACCAGACCGGCCATGGCCTGGCCCATGACCAGTATGTAATAATGAACAATGGGGCTCCTCACTTGGTTTGTTTATGGGGACCGGACGCGAGGGAGGGCCGTGGGGAGGCTTGGGTGGGCTTGGTGGGGAAGGATTGGTGGTGGGTTAATAGGGGTTGGGAAATTGATGAAGGGAGCTGGTTGGTTGGGAGAGGGTAGGTGGGAAAGGGTAATTGGGGGGGGGGTAGGTAGGTGGGGCCTGGAAAAGGGAAGGAAAGAAACTACCAGGGGAAAAGCACTAAGACATTACGACTATACAGCACTGGAAGGAGAAACTAATATGCAAAAACTACAAGCAGTGCAAAATAAGGCACTAAGGAAAGCAGCAAAACACCGTCCACCATGACCAGACGGTCAACTCCATGAACTCCTGAACATACAGCCACTAAACATCAGACTGCAGCACCAAGCCATCAGGGTGTGGAACACCATCGAAATGTTAGAGGACCCGATGTTAGAAAGGTTACTCCAAGATGAGAGGACCGGCTCCTATTGCCGATATGCGTACTGCCAGAAGGAAGTCTCCTGCATGGGGGGCACTCACTGCTCTGAGGCGGGCTGTGTCTTTGCCTTGCTCAGCGTTGCAACATCAGACATCAGCTATATTTTCCAGTAGTGGGTGGTCCTAGCTGATATGTTAGCTTTTTGTTGGCTCTATGATGGATGCTGGGGCTGCAAGAGCATCCCACTGATTTGAACATTTAATGAAAGCAGGATTGCGTATGCCTGTTGAATCACTCAGGGGTTCTGGAAGGATCTCTCTTACGAGGTTGTGTGATGCATGGGAGGAAAGGAAGGCTGGTAGAACAATCTGGGAGGCTGTACAGACACCAAGGCCGCCGAGTCTTACAAAAGGGGTTGCTTGCTCCCATTGAGAGTCGTCCAAATGAAGATTCAGGACTTTCACCAGAAGGGTGTCAAACACATTTAATTTAAGGCTATTGCAGGATGGAGAACACCTCAGAAAATAGGTCAACTTAGGGAGAGATGGGCATCTTGTGAGTAGGAAGAGAGCATCATGGGGCATCAATCTTGTCAATCCTGTCCAGCATTCTTCTTAGGTCAGTTATTTTTGCTTCCAGGACCTCGTCGATTGCTTGCGGGCCCCCATTGGCCCGCAAGCAATCGTCACGTGGCTCGACAACGAGAATGTCTGGAAGAACATTTTTTATTTGGCCAGTGATGTCTGGGTTGCGGGAGACTATTTCACATTTGGATGCATTGAGAAGGAGGCCCAAGCCTGCTCCTTGCTCCTGGAAATTCCTTATATCCTCCAAAATGGTATTTGGGTGCCGCCGAGAGTGCCATCATCCAGGTACCAGATGTTTAGTTCGCTTGTCAGACTATCAGTGACCTCTTTGATAGCTAAACAGATAGGAAGAGGGGCCAAGGGATCACCTTGTTGGACTCCTTCACAGGAGTTTATTTCATGCTCCCCAAAAAGAAGCTTAGAGTCCCCACTGTAGCACGATCGGATGAATGGGTAAAGGGGACGGAAATGGTCGTGTACAGCCCTGAGGACAGCGTCTCGTCTGACTTGATTGAAAGCATTTTTAAAGTCAAGCTTTACTAGTGCCTTCTGGTCCCAGGGATCAACAATGCAAGCACGCGCTGCATGTGCTGCAGCTTCACAGCCTAGGGAGATCCCAAACCCGAGCTGATGAGGTTTCAGCAAGTTGACTGCTTCCTGGCTGATAGATCACACTGCAGCCTTACCTAAAGAGGCGTCGGAGGGTGTTGCCAACGGCCATAGGCCTGATTCCCCATCCTTCTTTAGAGCACAGAGTGCTGCTCCGTAAAAGAGAGGCCTGATGTTCTTAGGGACGCCGCTAGCCACTTTGATGTGCCGGGGTCTTAGGCCTGTAAAGCCCCCTGCTGAACCTGTTGGGAAAGACATGGTTGCTTTGTACACCTCAGATTCTCGAACAGTCAAGGGTTCTATGCCAGCATTGTTTTCCTGGGGATCCCTGCTGCTGTCTGGGGCTCTGGGTGGGTGTTTGTCTTGAAGAGCCTCTGCTGTCGTGGCGTTCCTGGGGGCAATAGTGTCATCGCTGGTCATGATTCTGATGGCACCTGTGGTATTGCCCTCTTCTATTTTCCTGGTGATCTGTGCTCTCATTTTGTGGTTCTCAGATGAGTTATTGTTGGTCGTCCTGCGGCTGGTGTTCTTGGCACGAGGGGGGAGGCGGACCAGGTTGTCTGCTCTGGGGAATTCATAAAAGAGCCCTGATTACTGAGTTGATATAATGACTTGTCTCTCCTCGGCGGTAATGCCAGGCATGCATTCCCAAAAAGTAGGAGATTGTGCCATGTTCCAATGGTTCTAGGAGCATTGTTGACCTTAGTCAGCAGACTGGTGAGTTTGGTAGCTGCTTGGTGACGGGCAGCCTTGGGGATGTGGGGCAAGGTACTGGTGGACGTCGCTTTGACTGCTTCAAGCAGATTATCTGCTGAAATAAAGTTGAGAAAGGTATTGTTCCTCGCTCCTGCAGCAGGTTGTCTGTTGTCACGACCCCGGGGCGGGCAACTAGACCCCTAGACAACGACCTGAATTGACGAAATGTTGGCGGACAGTTCCATCATCATTGAGATGAAACCGTCTGTCGCACACTCGACAGTATCCACTTGGGTGTTCCACATCTTGACTGGAAGGTGGGTGTGTGACAGGTGCGACGTGTGTCATGCCTAGATGCCCCGACGGGAATGGAGTGCAACATGGCAAGCACTGCCCTCATGGGAGGTTGGGCATGGCCTGGGCACCGTGTGTGGGTAGGCCGATTGTTGATGGGCAGCTAGGTCAGGCTAGGTCAGGCGCAGGTATATATATCCGTCCAGAGAATGGATAAGGTGGACCCCATACCCATCCCATATGTATATATATCCTCACCAACACACACACTGCTTATTCATAATTCCAACCGGTTTGGTGCCTTCTTTTGATAATTACTTACTTAATAATTCCAAACATTTTCCACCTTCCACGCCCCACCCGACCACTTGGATTGGACGGTAGAGCGACGGTCTCGCTTCAAGCAGGTCGGCGTACAATCCCCGAGCGTCCAAGTGATTGGGCACCACTCCTTCCCCACTGTCCCATCCCAAATCCTTAACCTGACTCCTTTCCTCCCTCCCACTTTTTTTTTGAGTAAAGAGGATTGAAAGGTACAGGTGAAGGGACGTTTAGAGGTGGGAAATACAGTGAGAGTTATGACAGCAGGCGGGCTGTCCGCCTTGCTGACACGATGTGTGGGTGTTGGCAGCTAAGCTAAGCTGGCTCCCTCTTGTCAGGAAGCTGTGTGTGTGTGAGAGGTTCTTCACATGTGTTTCGGCATATATAGATGTTTATAGATGAATACTGTGTAGCATTCATATATACACACTCCGATACTTCCACAGCAGCGTACTTTACACTGGCGAAAATTAGAACTTCATTCAGAAACCTAAGTGAGGAGGCTTTTAGGGTGCTACGCGAGATCAGTCTTAGAGTATGCCGCCTCATCATGGAGCCCCCACCCGAAGAAACACATAAGGAAACTGGAGAAGGTTCAAAGGTTAGCGACGAGGCTTGTCCCAGAGTTACAAGGGATGGGATATGAAGAGCGTCTGAAGAAACTGAACCTTACGACACTAGAGAAAAGAAGGGAGAGAGGAGATATGATAGGGACATATCAAATACTCAGGGAAATTGACAAAGTGGAAATAGATGAAATGTTCACACGTAATAATAACAGAACGAGGGGACATGGGTGGAAACTGGAAACTCAGATGAATCACAGAGATGTTAGGAAGTTTTCTTTTAGCGTGAAAGTAGTGGAAAAACGGAATGCACTTAAGGAGCAGGTTGTGGAAGCAAACTCTATTCATAATTTTAAAATTAGGTATGATAGGGAAATGGGACAGGAGTCATTGCTGTAAACAACCGATGGCTGGAAAAGCGGGATCCAAGAGTCAGTGCTCAATCCTGCAAGCACAAATAGGTGAGTACAAATCCAGGGAGCCTGGTGGATAGCGTGCAGGACTCGTAATTCTGTGGCGTGGATTCGATTCCCGCACCAGGCAGAAACAAATGAGCAAAGTTTCTTTCACCCTGAATGCCCCTGTTACCTAGCAGTAAATAGGTACCTCGGAGTTAGTCAGCTGTCACGGGCTGCTTTCTGGTGTGTGTGTGTGTGTGTGGTGTGGAAAAACAAATAGTAGTTAGTAAACAGTTGACTGACAGTTGAGTGGCGGGCCGAAAGAGCAGAGCTCAACCCCCGCAAACACAACTAGGTGATTACACATGTTATGTTGCTCTGTTTAAGGCTATATATATATATATATATATATATATAACATTTTTCCCCAAATTATTGGGGGAAGGATTTCTGGTTAGTGTTTCATCTGGGAATTAAGTACTGTGGGGCGGGGTTTGCATTTAGTAAATCGCGGCTCTTGGGCCACCAGCTGTGGGAGCGGGGCGTCTCATCTTGGGCCACCAGCTGTGGGAGCGGGGCGTCTCATCTTGGGCCACCAGCTGTGGGAGCGGGGCGTCTCATCTTGGAGTAACCTGTCTAACATTGGGTCCTCTAACATTCCGACAGTGTTCCACACCCTGATGGGTTGGTGCTGCAGTCTGATGTTTAGTGGCTGTATGTTCAGGAGTTCATGGAGCTCCTGGATTGTCTGATCATATGGTGGACGGTGTTTTGCTGCTCTCCTTAGCGCCTTACTTTGCACTGTCCAACATATGATCAGACACTCCAGGAGTTCCCTGATCCCACAGCGGTGAGCCTCACCCTCGGAGCCTCACCCCGCCCCCGTCCCCCCAGAGCGTGGCTTGTATGGCCAGGTTATCAGTAGGAAGCAGGATTACGAGAGGAAAGAC